ATAAACGCCGTCTTTTCTTGATCCGGGGGATAGAGAGGGATCTGATGATATCCTGCTCGGGCATCCAGGAAGTCCATTCGTTCATATCCGGCAGTGGCATCTACTAGCTGGTCCACCTTTGGCAGGGGGTAGTCATCCTTGGGACATGCCTTGTTCAGATCTGTAAAGTCTACGCAGACACGCCATTTCCCCCTTTCTTCTTTGCACACACCGTATTAGATAGCCATTCTGGAAATTGTATCTCTCGAATGGCGTCGGCCTTCAGGAGTTTGTCGATTTCCTCGTTGACCGCGCTGGTGTGATGCGGGGCCATGCGTCGTGGCCTCTGTTTGACTGGCTTGTGCGACGGGTCAACATGCAGCCTGTGTGTGATTATCTCGGGGTCTACCCCCGTCATTTCCATCTCGTTCCACGCGAACACGTCTGTATTTCCCTTAGGAACTCGATCATCTCCTCCTGTTCGGCTGTGGGCATCGAGGTCCCAACTAAGAAATACCTCTCTTCTTCTCCCTCTACCAAGGGCACCTTCCGGAGGTCTTCTACCGACCGCTCAGTTGGGTCTATCCGGGGGTCATCCATTCCTGGACGCCCGGACTGTAATTGCTATTTTTCCATAATCTCTTCCGGTGCTCGCCCCTTCTCCTGGCTGAACGCCCCGGCTCGAACGGCTGAATAAAAATAATTTTTTGCGGACGCTTGGTCCCCCGGATCTCCATGATACCCTCTGGCGTGGCGAATTTTAATTTCTGGTGGAAAGTGGAGTGCACCGCTCCCAAAGCATGCAGCCATGTTCGCCCCATAATCACGTTGTAGGGAGAGTCCGTATCGATCACGACAAACTCGGTGTCGATGACAAAGGGACCTGTGACAACTGGCAATGTGATTTTCCCCACGGGCAGGGCGAACGAGCCGTTGAACCCGATGAGGGGTGTCCTGACTTTGGTGAGGTCTTTGGGGCCAAGACCCATCCGTTTCAAAGTTTCGAAGTACATCACCTTCGAGGAGCTTCCAGAGTCTATCAAAATCCTTTTGACATCGAATTTCCCTATCCTCAGGGTCAAGACAAGGGCGTCGTTATGAGGAGTCACTACGCCTGTCAAATCCGCGTCGGAGAATGTAATGCCAAGCTCACCCGTCCTGGCCCTTTTACTTGGTGGCCCTACATCAACCTCGGCTACCTTCCTGGTAAAAGCTACCCTCTTGAGGTCGGACTCGAGTTCCTTGGACGTGGGGCGATCCAGGGGACATATATGGATGACATCTATGATGTTGTCCGGCTCCTCGGTCGGGGCAAGGGCTCGTCTCTCTTCTGGCCTGGGCTCTATGTACTCTTTCAAATATCCGTCTCGGACCAAGCTTTCCAAGAACGATTTGAACACCCTGCAGCTTTCGGTGCGATGCCCGAAATCCCGGTGATAGGAACACCTAACCTTTTGATCACGGGTGGAGGGGTCGCTCTGCATCCTGGGCGGCCATTTGAAGAACGGCTCGTGCTTGATTTTATGGAGCAGCTTGAAGATGGGTTCCTTGAACACAGTATGAATTCCTTTGGACGGACCCCCTGGAGGGGGTAGCAATCCCTTTCGGGGAATATCTTCCCGCTCCTTCTCTTTTCTCTTAGATTGGAGGGCTCGGCCTTTGCTGCTTCCCATCTCGTCCTCAACCCTCGAGTATTTGTTTATCCGGGCCATTAGTTCCCCCATATCCGAGGGGTCTTCTTGGTCAGGGATCGGTACAGGTCCGTGTCCCTTGCCAAGCCGAGCCGGAAAGATGCTGCTGCCATGACCTCCGAGCAGCCTTCTACCTCATTAACCTCTTCCCAGTATCGGATGGCGTACTGGCGAAGAGTCTCGGATTCCCTCCGTCTGAGGGTCAGCAATGATCCAATGTCTTTGGGGCGCTTACTCCCCGTAATGAATCGAGCCAGGAACTGCTTAGTCAATTCCTTCCAGGACCCAATACTGTTGGGGGAAGCGCCTCGAACCACTTCATCGCAGAGTCCCCCAAGCTCATAGGAAACACTCGGCAGAGAAACCGTTGGTCCGAATGATAGAGGGACATCATCTGCTTGTATTGCCTGACATGGGCTTCGGGATCGGACCGCCCGTCATAAGTTTTGAACCGCGGCACGACAAACTTTCTTGAAACCTCCATCTCACTGATCTCCCTCGTAAAGGGTGTTTGTATGACTTCGTCCTCGGCCTCATCCTGGACAGCCTTACCCTTTCTCCTGGAGTCTAACGGGCTCTGAGATCAATTTCTTCCCTGACGGGATGCCTTCTGAAGTCCTTGAGTTCATCGGTAAGCCCCTCATTTCCTGGGCGTCGTGTGGATTGGGTTGAGTCCTCCTCGGATTCATCTCCCTTCCTCCGTCTAGACAAACCTCGCCGGAGGTCGTCCAGGGCCAATGGCCTTGCTTTCCTTGAATGGTTGTCATGATGATGCTCGCCGGCTCTGGGTCGCTTTGGGGCCCTAGAGCTTTCTGCTTTGTTGTTTAGGTGGTTTCTTAGATCCTTCGTTTCCGCCTCCCGGGCGGGAAGCCCACGGAAAGGAATGAATCCCTCGACCCTTCGCCAGAGGCGGCAAACTCGTTGAGCCGGCTTAGGACGTTTACATTGTCCTTTTCCAGCTGACGTAATCTATCGCCAAATTTTTCTTCAATCACCTCCGCCAGCTGACGAGCCAAGGGGGCTGATCCCCCTGACCTGATTCCCATACTGGTTTGAGGGGTAACCCCTCTTGACCGAGTAGAGGCACTTTTATTCGTATTGGTGTGATCCCTCCCTCCGTGATGACAGGGAGCTTGTAACTCGAGACTCCTTTGGTGGGGGCCTTTCCCTTTTTGTCGAGTGTTCACCATGGTCACTGTTCTTTATAGAGAAAAAACTAGGAAAACTAGTCGTTTCCCACAGACGGCGCCAGATTGTGCGTGCAAGATCCTGCACAATATAAAAGCGAGAACAGATCTCTCCCTTGGTGAATTCGAGTGAGCCAGTTGAGTGACCAACCACGCTGCTTGGAACAGCCTGCGAGGTCCGGTGGTAACCTGGAACGGCAACGGGAGACCCTGGGGGAGCGAAAGAACGATCCAGTAAGGCTGAAAGAGGTTCCTGGAACAAAGAAGAACAAGTTAGAAGGGCGCCGGAGTGTTTTTCGGCGTATCCCCTCCGACGATCTAGTCAGTCTTTGAGAAAGAGAGAGGAAGGAGAAAACACTGAGTGTGTATTGTAGTAAAGAGGTTTTTTGTTGCATACCCGTCTTGCCTTTTGCAAGGAGTATTTATACCTCAAAAGCTCATGATTGCTGTCAGTGTAGTCAGTAGGTGATCATTAGGTACAGGCAGTGTGCGCACTGATTCTGATGAGGAATGTCTTCTCTTCTTAACTGCTCGGGGTCCCGAGCAATCAATGCTGTGTCATCGGGATGCCGACGGTACAATGTACTCCTCTCGGGGAGGAGGCAATAAATGCACTGTATTAGGAGCATTTATTGTCTTTCATTTCCGAGCCTTACTGCATTGAATGCGGTCTCATCAAGGGAATGGTGTAATTAATAGTTTGCTTTCCCAAGCCGCGTGTCAGCAACGGCATGCGGTTTCTCTGTCTTCGATGTGATATCATACGCCACGCGTCCATCCCCTATTGGCTGTGACCCCTGCATTCCAGTACGTTCTGACACTAACTGTGTAAGATGAGGTCATGATGAATAGCCTAGACTAGCCTAGGCTAATGACCTGTACGTCAATAGCTTATCCTGGATTAGAGGAGGCGTCCAGGACAGGGTACACCTCGGCACCGAGGAAAGGCTCATCTCGGAACCGAGAGAGGGATACCGACCGAGGTACCATATCATACCGAGGCCACGTGTCGGTTGTAAAACGTACTGAATGCCATGATCCTATATGACGAGTACCTCGGGGGCGAGGACCTTTATGCGCCGATAGTGCTTGATCTTATCAACAGTGTTTTAGTAATATCGAGAACACGTGTCTTCATCATAGAGTATTTCAGAAAAATCTCATCATTATAGTTCAATTATTTTCAAATGCAACATTGCCCATGTCTACAAAAAGATCAAGCGAACCACGTCCCCATTAACAGATTGTTTTAGTACTTGCTGTCCTGAGACTTAGTTCAGGACAAGAGACTGCAGAAACAACTTGATCACGTGAAGTCAATGTAGGAACTTAGTTTCTTTTTTAATAACATCTCATGATATAACTGGACATTTCACATCCAATTTTCCCTAGGTTTCCCAGCTGATATAACCCACAATTTCACATTTTAAGGTGCATGTTCTTCGGTATAGATTCTTGACAAACCTCAGGCAGCCTAATTGGTCAAATCTAAACATAAAGGAAAAGCAAGAGGATGAATCCTATGGTACACGTAATACCTTGCATGCTATTGTAGCAGTGCACTTTGTTAAAGCTTCCAGATAAAACCATATGACTTCTTAAAACACCAATGTGGGACAAACTCAAACATCCTCTCTTCACGTTCAACCTCGAAATGTACGTGCAAAAACACAGACCCTAGCACAAGTCCACAACATAATACAGCATGTTGACTGAAGAAGGAACAAACGCATATGAGAAGAATAATTCCAACAACTGAAACTTGAACATAACCTCACAAAATTCAAATATGATTATGGCAATGGAGTACTGGACACAGTGCGCAATAGAAGTTACAAAACAATAACGGAAATAGGCGAGTGAATTTCTTTTTCCATTCACACCTTCCTCAAAACTTGAAAACATGCATGTTTTGACTGCAAAATCATAGGAATATAGATTTCTAGTAATTTATACTGAATTTTGTTTTGATTTTTCAAAATACCAAGCAGGTTGTCTGATTAGACAAGACATGTAATCATGAGTTATAGAGGAGAGAAAGGGAGGAAGTGGAGGAGAATAATTAAACAATAGTTGGAAGTAAAGTAGCAGAAAATTGCATATTGACAGGCACTAGATGTTAAACTCTTTGACAAACACAAACAGATGGTCTTATCAGCCACTTCTTAGGAAGTAGGTGAATGGTAGTCCAAGCAAAATAATTACAAAGCATGGTGTAGATTGGACCAGTCACATGTAATCCCTGTAAGTAACAAAGCAAACAATATACAAACACTTAATGCATATTACCTTTACACAATTGTCATAATTGCAAACATATTGTTTCTCTCCATGGATGTGAGAATGTTTCCTCAAAGCTCCAGCATCAATAAATGTCTTCCCACAGCCTTGATAACTACAAAGGAAAAGAACTTCAGTTGTTGGTTCAGGTTCAGGTTCTGCAGCCTCCGGGTCTTTTGACTTTTCTTTAATGGCCTTCAGTTGTGCCTCTAATAAAATAGAACATGGAGAAACATTAGACAAAACTTCCATGACAAAGCACTCAAGGAAATATACGCATTATAGTCGTCTATCGACTACCTTTAGAAGAACCACTATTAGATGAATCCCTAAATAGAAAGCAATCAGAACTAACCTGTCACCCATTTCAAAAGAAAGCACTTCACGCCAGTTGCTACAACATCTTGTGGCACCCTAAAACAAATATAGATAAGGTTAGAGCAAGGTCTACACAGCAAACTTAGTTATGGAACAGGAAGAAAAAAAAACAGAAGCTAAATCAGAGCAGCTATCCTACACCAAACCAGATAACTCATTCAATTGGAAGACTCTCTCCAATCACTGGCGGAGCCAGTATAGGACCATGGTTCAAAGTCGCGGTATCGGCCATTAACTCGGAGGGTACTGATACACATCGGTCGTGGTATCGCGGCGCGGTATCGGCTGATATGCTAAAAATGCAAGATAGAAGCTCCAAAAAAATTCTAAAAAATTCTAAAAAAATAGACATTATCATTTATGCATCATATATCCACAATACATCTAAAAACACATTAAACATAATTAAAATGAAACATAAAATCGCGAGCGAAAATAATTATCATTATCAATGTTCAATGTAGACATTTAGGAACATATTGAGCCGTAATCATTGCCACATTGAACGACGATGAAGCTCAAAATCGTCGTTATTGTCTCTAGAATAATACAAATTAGGGTACTGTCCACCATAAGAATTAGAGTACAAGCGTGAATACAAGTCTGATTGGGTTGGTTGAGTTGATTGACTAGATGACCCATAATCAGAGTAGTGTGACTGTGGAGGTTGTACTGGCTGGTTCCCATACTGATAATACCCAAAACCACAATATTCACGGCCACTACTAGCAGAAGACTGATCATATCTATAAAAGTTGACACTATCCGATGTCGTGTTAGAAGATCCATCATGATGTCTCCTTGGAACACGATCATAGTAACCACCAGTACTAGTACTAGTAGATCTCTCAAGATGCGTAGGGCGATGGCCATAATGCCTAGCACTATTAGTACCAGTAGACCTCGGAAGCTGCGAAGGGATACCATATCCATATGATCCATGTGCATAGCTAAATTCTATATCACTACTTTGATGATGTCCGTAAGACATGTATCCTTCATATGATGTCAATCCCAAATTCTGCATATGATCATCAATATCTTGTCGATCAAGTGAATGATGGTAGCGTCTATGAGAATAATCATCACCAATGGAAGAGTTTAAATTCCTCCGTTGTTTCATTGTCCCTGGTCTATATCCATGGTCTGTATCCTGTGTGGCATAGTAATTGTCTTGCCCCTGTGCCCATGACATACCGCTAGGTACCTGAGTATCACTACCATCTCCAATAGTCCCTCCACCACCACTCTTGTTGCTCTCATCATTATCTCCACCATGATTACTAGCATCATCATCATCAGTACTACTACTATCACCATTACCACCACCACCACCATAAGTATCAGCAACATTATTATCATTATTATCATCAGAAGAAGAATCACTAGAACTGACAAAAATTCTCATAGCCTTTTTACCCTTATTGGTTGGTCTCGTATCTTTTCCAGATCTTCTGGTAGTGGCATAATTGCTAGATGTTGGTGCCGTATTAGTGTCACCTTCATCAACTACATCTCGTCCACTTCCACCTTCTTCAATGTCACGAATACCTTCATCCAGCCAACCTAAGTTATCAGGTGGTAAAATTGATTCCTCCCCTTCTCTTATCCACTCATCTAATATATCCTCATCATTAAAAATATAGTTCAGATCAATTGGATTATAAAAATCATCATTTTCACGCTGATATGTCAAATTTTTAACTCGTAACTGCATATTGTAGTGCACAAAAACTAGCTTATGTAGCTTTTTCATTGTCAATCGGTTGCGAAGTTTTGTATGGATCAACGACCATGTACTCCAATTTCTTTCACACCCCGATGATGAACATGTTTGGCTTAAAACTTTGACTGCAATTTTTTGCAGATGGGGAGCTTCTTCACCATAATTGATCCACCATTCAGCTACAAAAAAAAAAAAACTGTACAATATTAGTATTGTCCATAAGAGTAACAAATGATACTTTACTAAATACATATAGTTTAAATAATAAACTTGGAAGGAAGGCATGTACAGTTTTTCTAGTGAGTGCATTCTCAAACTCGCCATGTTTGTCAGTATATAATTTGATCTACAATTTATTGTATAATGTATTACGTAAGCGACAAATATATACACATATTATAATAAAAAATTATCAAAATTCATCATACCTCGTTCATTGCCCTTGCTTGTTTATTCAAATCTGGTTTCAATCTTTTAATAACCTCTTTCAAACCAGATCTTACCTCAGGATGGTTGAAAATTGATTAGAATATTGAAAAACTAGATTTAAGAAATAAGCTGCAAAATTTTTGACAATTTAATGTAAGTTAGTGAAAAACTATAATATTTTACAAGCTAATACACAATGAAAATTTTATATTTTTAAATACTTTTACCTGCTGCATGTAAGTGTCTGTGCAATTGGATCTCCCATCTTTTGTCAATCACAGCCTAGTATTTTTTTCAATTTTTGACTGAATGTTGTATGGCTAGTTTAGCCCTGTCTATTGTCTCATAGATAATTGATAAAGTTGATTTTGTCTTGATCAACTATTTTTAAAGCCCTAACAAGAGGCTCCATGACAGATTGAACTTCTCTAGCCTTCTTCCAAAATTAGTCAGTCAAAATAAGATTTCATGAGACGAATCCAATGTTGAGATCCGATTCGTCATCCAAACTATATAAAAATTCAGTTTTTAACCCACGCTTAGCGACTTAATTCCCATTTTACCCTTTTAATTAAGTTTTAATTTTTACTGAATTTTACATTATTTATTAAAGGTATTTTAGTCAATGGTTGATTTTATGGACCTTTCGTCTTCAAAGCGTCGAGGTTACACTCCCGCCTTAAAAATACCCAACTTTGTACCTGTCACCAAATCTCCCTAAACAAAATATACCTCAAAAATAGATTACTTGTGCAAAAAGAATCCAATGACTACAATATTAACCATGTTAAATGTTATGTTAAATATCTAAAGTATCTGAACTGTATAATGTGTATAGAAGTGTGTGCCACATACATTAACATAGAATATATATACAAAAGAAAAATATGACACATATCTTGATAGACAAAAAAATAACCAAAGAAAATGGACGAGTGTCCATGTGATATCACCATGCATGTCATAACCATGGTGAATAAGAACCCTGGTGGCCAAGCGATGGTTGGCTATAAAGGGGGTTTGTGAGGTAGTGACCAAATGGGGGAAGAATGGAAGAAAGGAAGAAAATAAGAAAAAAGAAGAAAAATTTATGATGTTTCTCATGGAAAAGTTGATGATGTTTCCAAAACCTCTGTGGATCGGTTCTTGACGATATTTCTCAGGTTGCCCAGCTCATCCTAGACCTCCTTAATGCAGTTCTCCTTGTAATGGTTTAGAGGGTTTCATTGAAGAGTAGGCTGAGGAATATGCCTCCTTTCTTCACTAGCTCTGCTGTGGGCCTCATGTTCCTGCTTTGTCTGAGCTCGACAAGAGCAAACATTTTTGTCAAAGTGGCTTCAGCAGTCCTCCTTAGTGACCCCATTAAGAGGTTGTGGAGGAGGAGGATGACTTTTAGGATTTCGAGGTATCTGGGTAGTGAGAAGGGCAATAATTTTTAGGTTTTGCCTGTGGCGTAAAATGATTTGCTGGTTAGTTTTAAGCTCCTCCACAAAGGCAGATTTGCAGCAGGAGCTACTGGTAAAGGTATTCGTTGCTGGTTTTTTGGATTTTGGCTTATAGTTCTCATTAGAAACATCAATCAAACAAAAGTCGAGTAATTTCAGAGCAGAACGATTACAATCATTCCCACAGAAGGAATGGTGCTAGAGATCAAGAACGTGAGTTAAGGGTGTAGAGTGAGGTCTAATCATGATGAAGAGAGAGTTATGTGTGTGTGTGAAATAACAGTAAACGCGAACACAAGACGATGAGTTGTTCATCAAGTTAAAGAATTATGCTAGTCTACTCTAATAGAAACTTTTGTTCAATTGCAACCTTTTTAATTACAATTTTTGCATTGTTTGGCACAAGGCAAGGGTTTGCCTCTGTATACACTAAGGTAGTGTGGTCATCAAATAATTAATGATGGGATGGTCTCCTAATTTATTAGAAGAAATATTTAGCCGTTATAAACTATGTTTCTTAGGTATAATATGATATTCTAGAAGCTGATGACTTGACATTCTAGTGATAGATTCTTTGTCCCTTGGGTAAGATCGAATAGCGCAATTCCTCTTTTATTCTTTCTCCCATTATGAGATGAGCTGTTTTTGGTAAATTGAGCACGTTTGATAATGACCGAACTGGTTCAAGCCATAACTAATCTGGATCCTTGTGTAGTAGGTCAGTCAGTCTACTACACAGGTCGACTTGTTTACTTAACGGGTCGTAGATTTATTTTTCACATAGATTTAATCTTGGTATAATCAACATCAAAAATTGACCGGTTGTTAAGCCTTCTTGAGAAGGTGAGTGATGACGGTTTTTTTGATGGAAAATAATAACAAGCCAAAAAGCACCGCCCATTGGCCGACTTGGTTGCATAATTTTTTTGAGAAGAGATCAATCAAACACTACTAAGCGGAAAACCGTATAACGCACACACACATCTTAAGGTTATCCGATGTGGGATAACCCCAGCCCATCTATCCTAAGGTTATCCGACTTGGTTGCATAGTTCAACAAAGCTTCCATTAAAGGAAAAATTCAAAGAGTTTTTTTTGTCTTCAAACCATTATCCATTAGTAATTTATATGTACCCACATTATCCTACTCTGCTTTGTTTATTGAACTGTGGACAGCTTTCTTGTATTTTAATTGCAAAGTATATATGTCTAGTTCATATCCCTGTCTCACTTTATTGATTCTATTTGCTTTTGCTACAAGCAAGAAAGAACTT